GTCCGTTCATCATACAACTCATAAAGTCGTTTTCTACTTTTATGTATACCAAAGGTGGCCCAGTCACTGAAGCAGGTGTTATTATTAACCGAGAATGCCTTTGGAATGAAAGTGTTATCAAATTGTGTGCAATACATATTAAAAAAATCATTATATTGTTCATTAGGGTCATCATTAGTTGACAAAAGTGGTAATTTACTTAACAGTTTAGTTTTAAATGATTCCAAACGATCAGCTGTTTTTGGATTAACAGTGATATCTTTTTTAGTATTTTTTTGTTTAGATTTGGAATAGTAATCAATTGTCCGCAATGATCTGAGTCTATTAAATTAATAATTTCTTTGTGGGTTGGTATAATATTTGTATAAATGTTATCTAGGCATGTGGCACTAGTTGGAGTTATTCTAGTGGGCTCCAAAAATTGGTTGGCAAGGTTGTATGACTGAAACAAACTTATAATTTTTGTGCTTGACCCAGAATTTTCTAACAAATTAACATTAAAATCACCACAAGTGATGATAGACTTGTAAGAATTACAGATTTTGTGCAATACTTCATCCATAACCCTTTCAAAACAATCATACAATCCTGAAGGAGGCCTGTACACGCTTAATATAATGAACTGCTCCAATTCTATACAGGCTAATTCAATTGTCCGCTCAACAGATAGGCTCACAATATCCTTACGATCTTTAAATTTAAGTTGTTTATTTACTAAAATTAATGAGCCACCGTGTATAGCATTTACTCTGCTGAACGAACTACCAACCTGGTGATTGCTAAAATTGAACATGAACTGGTGGCTTTTAAGCCAATGTTCTGTCAAACAAAGAATGTCTATATCGTTACAATTTAGGAATAATTCTACTTCTAAATCTTTGTTCAAAAAACCTTGAATATTTTGATGCACCAGGTTGATACTATTTAAATTTTTTGCACTTTTAGTTGATCTTACCTTCCTTACATTTTGGCAAGAGGTTGCCTCTTTTGTCCCAATTTCTAATTTAAATGAAAATCAATGTCATTAATAATTGTCGCCAAATTATTGGCAGAATTGTTTAAAATATCATTGCGTTGCATTTCTTTAAAATTATATGCTAATAATTTAGCAATTTCTTTTTTATTTTATATGAGAGATACAATGTATCTTTGGTCAGATTAAAATCTTGAGACATAAACAAAAATAGATATAAATCAGGGATCATAGAAGGGTAATGTACTCATCGCAAGCGTGCCTGCGATTTAGAATATGTGTGAAATAAAACGATGATACGGATAGCGGCAATACTGATCGTACTACAACATTTGATCAAACGACCTTCCGTCGTAATTGCTTTCGTGACAATTAACATATAATAAAATGAACATGTCACAATACAACTTTAATCTGATTTAGTTTATGATTTAAACATCTCTAAGGAAATACCAAAGAAACCAACACTGAGAGATAATTAGGTATGACTCTGGTATGACGTTTTTGACAGTTGACATCCTCGACTTTGAACCTCACCCTGAAAGTACAGTGTTTAGCAGTGTTATCAGAAATCGCGGTGAAGGAATCGAAAGCTTTGCGTAATATATCGTAGCTTTAACGAGTTACCCGTTGTACTGCGATCATTAATAAGGTTACCCTGTGCTTCGCTTACATTTGGTAAGCACTGGGAACTAGTAACACTTAGGTATACTTGTATATCAGACAAGTATTTCTTTTAGTATCAGATCTATTACATATGCATTCAAGTATAAACTTCAAAAGTAAAGGCAAGGTATCTTAATATAAGGCAAAAACCTAAAGTTTTTACGTAATAGAATATGAAAATGAACGAATTGATTTCGTTACAATAAAGATGTATGGTGGGGTTAAGTAGATGACACCTTCTAACGAATGCATATCCGAAATATATATATATCCGAAAATCTGTGTTTTGTTCACACCTTCAGACAAAAGTATGTACATAGTGTGAGTACTGCTGAGTCTTATCTAGTGTATTTAATAGTTGTTATCTGTATTTAAATAGTGATTTTATGTCCATGTATCTGTCAATATCACTACCACATATTCCAGTAGATCGTACCACAAACTAAACATAGTAAATCGTCCTTCGCTTTGAGAAGGTTGCAACTTCATTGCCTTTCGACTGTACCATTTCTCTTTAACTCGATCGCGAAGTTTTGCCTGCTTCTAAAAGGTCCTAAATCTCTAAGAGAACCGTGAAAGTTGGTACTATGTGGAATTAACAGATGTTTCACGATCTAATCGGACGTTGTAAGAAAGATGAGGGACATTAGTACGAGCAGATCGTGATTGGAATCTTTGATTGGACTCTTGAGATATATAACGTTATATTTTCTCAAGGAATTTTATTTCTCATAAAACAAAGTTTAACATTAAATTAATTTGGTAGGTATTTAGAGTAATGTGAATTTAATTCCTATGATCGATATAAGTATATGACTGGCATTCATAAGACACATGCAATGAATTGTTAACTTACCAATGATGTTACTATTCTTCTTGAGAGTTCAGCCTTGCGATTCTGTAACTCACTTTCCGAACTCACTCAGCGGTTTTCGCAGCGGCGGTCGCGCTCAAATCAGTCGTTAAGCAGTCATTTTACGATTTGTCATTCTGATGAGGAGGGAGCTTGTAATTTATTGTTTATCAGAATGCCAAATCGTAAAATGACTGCTTAACGACTGATTTGAGCGCGACCGCCGCTGCAAAAACCGCTGTGTGAGTTCGAAAAGTGAGTTACAGAATCGCAAGGCAGGCCTCTCATTCGAATTCTTCGCGATTATAACAGTAGTTATGCAGATCTGAATAGATTTGGTTGTGGGCTGATAAATTCTAAAGAAAGCATTGTTAAGTGCCTATTTCATACATAATCCGCTGTTTCGGTGGTAATTTTTTTACACCTAACAAAAATTACAAGTATTTTTATTTCTTTAATTTTTTTGTAACATTTATTTTTACCAAAATTGTCATATATTTTAGATAAGCTTGTGATATATAACGTAGATATAGTATTATGTATGATGTGGTAAACTACAATAAATAAACTCTTAAAGAACTTTTAATTTAAAAATATTAGGTTCTACCGACTCCAGCTTGAACTAATGTGCTACATTAGGACATCTGCTAATACATATAGACATTTTTTTTATGAGTATAATATAAATAGTTTTATATATATACTTACTTATTTTTTTACATACACGATAATGTAAGTAAAAAAAAGTAATTTAAAAAAATTTAACCTCCTTGTTATTTACCTAGGTATGTCCACCCTAGAAATGAGTGGATATAAAAAAATACTGAACGGATTCTGGTGAAATTTGGAGTGCTCCCTAAATTGGACTATGCGAGATTTTAATCCGTCACTATATGTCTTTTAGTATCTAATACAATTAACCAAACATTTTTTTTAATATTTTTGCGTGCTCGGAAGACTACGAAAGTGGTAATCAGCCTTTGGATTTGGTACCAAATTGGAATGGAAGCTATTTCCAACAATATTCAAATTAAATGGAGGTAAACTGTTTATATGTATATTAAAAACTTCTATTGAAATATGTACCAAGTTAATACAATATTCCGATTTCACTTGAACATTGAACAACTGCACGGCTTATTGGTTGGTTGGCTTATGGAGGTTATTCCAAATTTTGACAGCTGAAGGTGCGCGATACATCGACAGCCCACGAGACTAATTTCATGTATGTGTGAATAGGTGTAATTTATATTTAAGATATTGTAGGATACACAATAAATCAGATCTAACAATTACTCTGTCTCATTCATTTCTCGCTTCCTCTCACAGTGGCGTAGCCTTCTTCATGCCCTTAATTATCCTGGTGAGCCTGCCCAATAGCTTTGAGAAAAGTCCACCACCTTGAACCTCTGATCCTACCTGGAGGGTTCCGTCTGTTACCTTAGGTCGCTTGGTGCAGACATCCCGTACTTATTTATATATTCACTACTTACGTGTTAGGGTATAACTGTAGGGCTTAGGGATCCAAAGAGTTTTTAGATTCTAGGTTCTAGTTCTTACCCACTCATATTATAGTTATCTACTCCACCTTTCTAATGGATACATTAAAATACATATGGTATACTCCTAAAACTTATTACTTATACATTTGCACAAGGATCTCACAGTCCGCTGGCTGATAAGCTCCACCAATAAAATTCTGAATTCAGCTATGTGACAAATTGTACTTCTTAATTAATTCTGTACGAAAAACCTAAACAAGGAAAAATGTATGGATAACCATTACGAGAGTAGTGGAACTGGAACCGCTTAATCTAGTTAGTCCGGTCAATTTAGACATTCGAAGTTACATAAAGTCCCAACAAGCTGAATTTCTGTGAAATTGTTCAAAACATAATTATAAACAATGTCTAGAAGTTCCCCATCATTCCCGTGTAAGGAAAAAAATTTATTCCAGGGCAAAGGTAAAAAAAATGAGTTTTTCGCGATTTTCAGCAAAACGGTAAGTTTTATCATAAAAGTACCTCAGACAAAAATTGTAGATCATAAAATTATCTATAAAAAATGTATCAAAACATTTTTTTTCTTACGAGCCACCGTTTCTGAGATATAATGATTCAAAAAGTTATAAAAGTTGTTATCGTCATAATATGCACGTTTCCACGCCACCTATGAGGTAGTGTACTTAGTGCGTTTTTTTAAACGTGGTTTCTCCAGTAGACCTACTCGGGACCACGGGTCAGTTGTGATCCTGTTGAATGTAAAACTATTGCAAAATAACGGAAATATTCAAAGATTGGGAAAGATAAAAGCGATGTAAATTAAAAAAAAAGTGTTGAAGTTTATTCGTCTTATTCGTAAGTTTCAAATTCTTGTTCTTCTTTTTCATCTTCATTTTGGATGCAAGTAAATTGCGTCAATAGCGATGTATCGCATGATACTTCGTCGGAGTCAAACGAATCCTCCATTGTTTGTGATTCAATATTAGAGCACGACCAGCCAAAAATATTAAATCCAAAGTTTTGCAGTTGGTCCTTGTTCCTCATATTCTTTTAGTTTTTGATTAAATTTATTAAGTAAAGCTCCAGATACTTGATCGTCATTTTCAATATCATTGTATGAAAGAGTATTACCTAATATATGCTCGATATTTATGATTACATCTGCATCCATTATGTCATTCATTTCAACTTCTTTTAATATTATAATTGCCAAAGTAAGTTGCTGAAGTAGTGTATGATCTCGAACAGCTTTTGCGTAAGCATGACCATTGAGCATTTTTTCTAATGATTTTGACGCATAGATCTCTGCTAGTACTTCTTTTATGTCGCTTCCTTGCATAATATGACCAATTGCTCCCATAAAATACATCAGTAAATGAAATCCTCCAAGTCTGATGATGATTTTTGATAATTCAGAGCCCTCAGGTGCCGCTGATACAATTTCTCAAGCTTTAGCATACAGGGGGACGATAGTCACGTATCACGATGCATACAGTGTGGCCATACCGTTTTGCATTATCTAATGCACAAAGTAAAGTCGTATAGATAGTACTATAGTTAGTGGCTGGTTGGTGAATAAATGGTAAAAAGGAAATTTGAGATTTAGAATAATTCGTATGATTATTTGTTAAACGTTCAATAAAACCATTCCAACCGGGTATAGACTAATTTTTTCCATTTTCCATAAAACCATACTAGGTACATCAGCTTTTTTGAGAAGAGATACTGTTTCAGTTCCATAAACAAAATCTTTAACATTTATTTTACTGTAGCCTACTACACCGTCATTTGTATAATATATATATTACCGAGAGTTTTTTACGCCGGCTTTTTCTCTCGGCCTACACCTTGCCGATGAGTAGGGATGCCTACAAATTGAAATTTAATGACGTGAAATAAGTGATACATGTATCTTATGTTCCATAATAAACATATTTTATTTAATTTTTATGACGATAACAACTTTTATAACTTTTTGAATCGTTATATCTCAGAAACGGTGGCTCGTAAGAAAAAAAGTATTGATACATATTTATAGATAATTGTATGATCTACAATTTTTGTCTGAGGTACTTTTATGATAACATTTACCGTTTTGCTGAAAATCGCGAAAAACTCATTTTTTTACCTTTGACTGAATAACAAAATCCTTACACGGGAATGATGGGGAACTTCTAGACATTGTTTATAATTATGTTTTGAACAATTTCACTGAAATTCAGCTTCTTGGGACTTTATGTAACTTCACTCTCATTTTTAGGTCTAAATTGACCGGACTAAGTAGTAAGCGTAACGAACGTACATCTTGAATGTAGACATCTCATCAAGAAAATCGAAAACATTAACAAGACCGCATGATCACTCGCAATAAAAGAAATTGCAATTCCACAATTCGCATTCCGCATTTACATTGCGGACGGACGTGATTTACATGGATACATTATCGTTATCGATAGCGTATACGATTCTAATTGAAATCGGTTTCGAAATGTTTGTAAAATTTTGGTATGAATTTTTCAACTACAAAAATAAGGTAGATAAAGTAAAAAAGAGAAAGGTGTTCAGATTAATGCAGCTGAGTTTCATCATCGTCAGTCAAGGCAGACATTCCACTCGTATCACCTCGTCCACGCACAAATAAGTAAGAAAGTAGGGAAGTATTTCCGAACTAATTCGACTTAAGGTCCTTCAAGAAGCGTACCAATACTTCAAATGCTGGAAACGCACATGGGGGCCGACGTCTGGCAGTATGAGTTTCCATGGGTGGCGGTATCACTTAACATCAGGTGAGCCTCCTGCCCGTTTGCTCATATAAAAATGTGAGAAGGTAGCGTAGAATCATTTTAAGTGGTTCTGTTGAGATTATGTAATGAACAGATGATGAACATCTCATTCGATGTACGCCTTTAATGTTTACCTTTGACGGATATCTTCACACAATAATTGCATCTCCAGATATATATACACAGGTTTGCACGGTAAGAGGTACCTGCTATATCAACCAGCACCACGATCGTGATTTAGGCGTGAGAGCATAACATTTGCATTTATAATATTACAATATGTTTACATAATTATTTTTATATTATTATTAAAATATTAACGATTAAAACCTTTGAGACCAAAATCAGAATTTTCAAGTTTAATTAAATATTGTATCTATATGTTATAGTTAATTTAAACCAGACCGTATCACCTCGACGTCCGTCGTTCCACAACTAAGCGTTTTCTAAGGCAGTTTTTGCCGCGCACCACCACTATGTGGAACCAGCTGCCCACTGAAGTATTTCCGAACCAATTCGACTTAGGGTCTTTCAAGAAAAGAGCGTACCAATTCTTGAAAGGCCGGCAACGCACTTGCGAGCCTTCTGGCATTGTGAGTGTCCATGGGCGGCGGTATCACTTAACATCAGGTGAGCCTCCTGCCCGTTTGCCTCCTGTAATAGGAGGAGATATTTAAAAAAAAAGACAGACTTAGGCACTAGGTACTGAATTTCCAATATGAAATAATGTATTTTGCATCCCGGATATCTGAAAAATCTCCGAGCGTTGTACTTAAGCTAAGTATCAAGCCGTGGCTAATCCATTTGGAGCAAGTAATATGTCATGTTAAATGTATATACATAATCAATAATTTATACCCTAAATGTGATCCAAATCCCGGATGATGTTGTACAGGACAATGCTATCCGCTGTAAACACATGACAAACACATTAGCAATTATGTCAACAGAGTGGACCCGACAGCACGACATCGGTCAACGGAGTTTGCGTTACATTTGACAGTTTGTTGGAATTAATTCGTGGTTTCAGTAAACTGTATAGGAGGGTCAGTCGAATAAAGTTCCATTGTATAGTCATAGTACATAGAGTTATAGGAAACATCTTTGTTTTTTAAAGGAAAAGTCTACGAATTGTAATAATGATTAACCGTTACGGGTAATAAAAGCTTATAGAGTAACTTGCATTCAATTTTTACTTTGTGCCAATAAAAGTATTTTTTATAAAGAATACAGAATAATGTGCGTAATGAAATTTAGAAAAATAGTTTCCTACCTCTTCAACTTTAGTTGTTTAACAATATTTGCGTTCTAAATATGTTCATAGATAAAATCAGTGCCGCTACAACCTTTTTTTTAGGTCAGGGCCTCAGATTTCTGTATTTGTTTCGTGATCATTTGTAAATCTAATAAGCAAGTAGGTGATCAGCCTCCTGTGCCTGACACACGCCGTCGAATTTTTGGGTCTAAGGCAAGCCGGTTTCCTCACGATGTTTTCCTTTCCCCTTCCAACGAATGTTAAATGCGCACATAGAAAGAAAATCCATTGGTGCACAGCCACGCATCGAACCTACGCCCTCAGGGATGAGAGTCGCACGCTGAAGCCACTAGGCAAACACTGTTCATAGATAGAAATTGAAATAAACCTTAAATTCACATTTTAAAATATATATTTAAATAATCTTAGACAGAATATATTCTGATTAGAGGTATAGAATTTGTAAATAAACATTAAACAAATTAAAGAAGTTAATTATACAAGTTTTTAAATGTAGCCATCAATAAAAATATGTCACATGCGATAGAAATCGACAGATTATCAAGGCTTAACCCGAATCAAGAATTAATTGTGGGAAAAACATTGGGGATCTTCGGGGCTTACGTGATTAAAAACGGTCCCCGTTTTTGTAAGGTATTATTTTAGGATCGGCGTTAATTTTGGGCACCGAATCGCACTAATTTATTTAAAGAGTCCTCTCATAAATAAACTTATTATGTCCGGTCCAATTTGCATCGCTTTTTTGTAGAGTGGACTTGTAGGCACTGGATTTTATGGATTATGGTATTACCAGGGAATTATTTCAACTGCTTAATTCGGTAAGATGACGGTTACGTCTTTAATAAATTTAATTATACTGTTTTTAATCGATATTGCGCTAAAAATGCGGTGATCTTCGAGAGAGGTCATAAAAAATCATCAAATTGTTTTAATTTTAAAAATATAATACTCAGATACACAAGTATTTTAAATTTATCTGTCATAACGAAAGCTTTGAGTACAGGTACTTTGACAGTATGTAGTAGTATAACAGTAGGTGAGAATTCATATAATTGTTAAAACTAACGCCCTTATTTTAAACCTAAAACCTTCACATACGGAGCTATATTAATTAATTCAGTTTTTGTTCCTGGGTAGAAGCACTTCAATCCTTGGACCCTACTTTTAGACTCCACGATTGTCCCTTGGTCCTATTCTAATGTAGGGCGTATAAAGCTTGCATAATTAAGTATGTGTAGTGTAGCTAATTCGATTAGACCCCTGAAGCAGTGGAGTGTTCCATACTGTCCTTTTAAATCAGCCTTTATCAAGGCTGACTGACTGAGAATATTTTATCTTTGTTTTGTGTTGCGATAGACTTGTGTCTTTACTTTGACTTTGTATTGATATTATCATGCATTGGTTTTATTAAAATTATACTAAACTTGAATATTTGTATTTAATTTTTACTTCTAAGACAATTAAAACTAGTTCATTGCGATTTTTCCTCATAAGAGAAACGTATATATATACATCAGAACACTTTACATGTGGCTATTTAATTAATATTTTTTAGTTAATATGTTACTATTGTGTGTAAAAAGAATTGAAGTTATTTTTCATATTGATCATCAGTGGGTTTTCATGCTGCGCATAACACATAATATGGTCAATAACGGAGGCAGAGATGGGTTTTTTTATATAAACGAGGGAAACGGGGGAAAGGCCCATCTGGATTTATGTTAATTGAAGCCTATGTACACTTATACAGGACTCGCAAATGTTGCCGGCCTTTTAAGAATTGGTACGTTCTTTTCTTGAAACTCCGGTTACTGTGAGTATATAGTACCTGTAGCAGGGTAAGTGAGTACTTTGTTCGTTTGATTGTGAGTGACTGTGAGTCTGGGTCTAGTTTGATATTGCCTCGTATCCACGGTCACTGCTTCTCTAAGTACCCACAAAACGGGTCTTTTGTATTATAGAACAATGCCTTGAAGCACATTGCGTAGTCGTGTACCCCTATTTAATTCCTGAGTGAGATTTATGCTCGTCACTTTCCGACTGGCATGGAAAATCGTGAGGAAACTTCTATGCTTTTGACCTTAAGAGGCGACGGGGTGTTTTAGGTTTACTATAATATTAGAAAAAACAATTGATCATGAAATAGATACAAAAATCTGAGGCCCAGCCTTGCGATTCTGTAACTCACTTTTCGAACTCTCTCAGCGGTTTTCGCAGCGGCGGTCGCGCTCAAATCAGTCGTGAAGCAGTCATTTTACGATTTAGCATTCTGATAAGGAGGGAGCTTGTAGTTACTTGGAGTTACAGAAT